ACCGGGAGGGGCAAAGGGCCAATTGCACCAGGGCCCAGAGATTTAAAAGAACCTGGAGTTCCTAGTTCCTGCTACTGTGGCAGCAGTGGTGGCCAAGCCCCGGGTCACTTGGATCTGGTGTCAGTATACTGGTCAGCATGGCCTTATAGGTTGAGGAGGCATGTGCCACAGTCTAGGGCAGCCTAAGGGGTAACTGCCCTGGGCCCTGCTCCTTCTACCCTTGGCCCCATCCCTCCTGGGGGTGCAGAGCTGGCCCTCCACACACACCTTGCCCTAAAGCACGTGATGGCTGTCAGCTTTGCTGCATGGAAGCCAATTAGACTTACATAAAACCCTGGGCATTTCTTGGAAATTGATCTTACCCTGTAAGCGAGAGAATTTATATGTAGCAAGCAAAGTGTCAGTACATTAAACTCCCTTCACTTCACCTCAGGATAGTTAACTTTCTGGTGAAATCAATTATTTTACAGTTATGCCAACGTTAGCGCATCTTATTGCTCAAATAATACATTGATTTTCATGTTCTAAGGCAGAAAGGAAACATTTACTTGAGAAAGCTAAGGCAATAACTTGCCTTAAAATGCACCGTAAGACTATACTTGTTCCTCAAATAAAATCTTTATGTTTCTTCTCAAGTCCCACATGTTTTTCAAAATATACTTGATTCAGGAAATGGCCTATATTTTCTTCTCTGATTGGCTCAACAACTATAGGGTTATTCAGGGGATTTTGTTATAATTGAAATTTAGAACATAGATTGGGACTGTCTGTCTACCCTAGCTGATAATACAAAAAAATACATTCTATTAAATTGAATAGTGGCAAATTTAAAATTCTAAGAAACACTTTTTCACACAATGCATAGTTAGCCCGGGTAAATCATTGGCATAGGATATCGTGGAAGGATTTCTATTTCTCTTCCCCACAGTGGACTACAGGCAGTCCCCGACTTAGGCGGATCCGACTTATGTCGGATCCGCACTTACGAACGGGGCTTTCTCGCCCCGGAGGTCGAGGTGGCGGATTGCTACCTGCGAGCTCCGGGGCGAGAAAGCCCCGTTCATAAGCTGCTCCGGTGCCCCTGGTCTGCTGGAGACCGTCTCCAGCAGACCAGGGGCACCGGGCGGGTTCCCGCGCTTCTGAGGCTTTGCCAGAGCAAAGCCTCAGAAGCGCGGGAACCCGCCCGGTGCCCCTGGTCTGCTGGAGACCGTCTCCAGCAGACCAGGGGCACCGGGCGGGTTCCCGCGCTTCTGAGGCTTTGCCAGAGCAAAGCCTCAGAAGCGCGGGAACCCGCCCGGTGCCCCTGGTCTGCTGGAGACCGTCTCCAGCAGACCAGGGGCACCGGGCGGGTTCCCGCGCTTCTGAGGCTTTGCCAGAGCAAAGCCTCAGAAGCGCGGGAACCCGCCCGGTGCCCCTGGTCTGCTGGAGACCGTCTCCAGCAGACCAGGGGCACCGGGCGGGTTCCCGCGCTTCTGAGGCTTTGCCAGAGCAAAGCCTCAGAAGCGCGGGAACCCGCCCGGTGCCCCTGGTCTGCTGGAGACCGTCTCCAGCAGACCAGGGGCACCGGGCGGGTTCCCGCGCTTCTGAGGCTTTGCCAGAGCAAAGCCTCAGAAGCGCGGGAACCCGCCCGGTGCCCCTGGTCTGCTGGAGACCGTCTCCAGCAGACCAGGGGCACCGGGCGGGTTCCCGCGCTTCTGAGGCTTTGCCAGAGCAAAGCCTCAGAAGCGCGGGAACCCGCCCGGTGCCCCTGGTCTGCTGGAGACCGTCTCCAGCAGACCAGGGGCACCGGGCGGGTTCCCGCGCTTCTGAGGCTTTGCCAGAGCAAAGCCTCAGAAGCGCGGGAACCCGCCCGGTGCCCCTGGTCTGCTGGAGACCGTCTCCAGCAGACCAGGGGCACCGGGCGGGTTCCCGCGCTTCTGAGGCTTTGCCAGAGCAAAGCCTCAGAAGCGCGGGAACCCGCCCGGTGCCCCTGGTCTGCTGGAGACCGTCTCCAGCAGACCAGGGGCACCGGGCGGGTTCCCGCGCTTCTGAGGCTTTGCCAGAGCAAAGCCTCAGAAGCGCGGGAACCCGCCCGGTGCCCCTGGTCTGCTGGAGACCGTCTCCAGCAGACCAGGGGCACCGGAGCAGCTTATGAACGGGGCTTTCTCGCCCCGGAGGTCGAGGTGGCGGATTGCTACCTGCGAGCTCCGGGGCGAGAAAGCCCCGTTCGTAAGTGCGGATCCGACATAAGTCGGATCCGCCTAAGTCGGGGACTGCCTGTAGTTTGGTTAGGTTTTCTAACAAGGGGCATGTGTAAATCAGATACATATGTGAACTCAAAAATGGCCAAATTAGGTGCAAAACTTACACACATCTGGTAACTGCTCTCAGGAAAGTATCTAATTGGTGTCACTGTAAATACACTTTTGCATGTTCATTTGACCTTTTCTTTGAAAATTGCATCCTCATTATCCATTAGTATTGCAAAAAAAAAAAAAAAAAGTAGAAGAAAAGCTGTAGCATACGCACAACAGGTAAAAACAAGACAATTAATGTTGGATGGAAGTACTTTTTCTTTCTGAACGGATTTACCCACTACTAGTCTTCAGTTGAACTAATCGGTATCATGCAATGGAGATTGTAATCATTAAAAGAATAGGCCCTTTGAAAACATTGAAGATGTGCCTGCACATTAGAATGGAGAGTTGTAATCTTTGCCATCTGCTGTGAATGGGTGGAGCTATTTCTATTTCTGTGCTACTATAGGGTCTGACTTTCAGAAGTGCAGTGTTTTCCCAGCCCTGAATGAAGCCAATGAGCACTTTGGCTACTGAGACCCATGTGGTGCTTCTAGTGATGACCAAAGCCAGTGGACATGATCTGATAGTGGAACTATTGCAATAATGCACCGGTGGTGAAAAATCCTTTTAGTGCATTATTAAAATTTGTTTGTAGCCATGCCTAGAAATCTCATAAAACAAGCTTGAGAGCTGAATCCTTTTATTGTTTCTTTAGAAATCCTGGCAGGATAGAAGTGAAATATTTTCCTTCGGTAAATTGTCCCTTCTATAAAACATAAAGGATTAAAGTATGAGTAATTACCATTCTCTCTCAAACCAAGTAAAGGACAAGAGGCACTTCAGAGCTTTAGCCATTGATTTTTGAGCAGCCAGGGTCACATGTTAAGTACTATTGATAAAAAGCATTGCTGCAATGTCCATGGAGACGGAGTTGAGGTGAAAGTGAACTTGTTACCATAATGGTGACAGCTTTGGGTAGAGCTGTAAGGGACTGGAGCTTGTCTAGCTGTAAAATAGTTTTATGCATTACACCTTCAGTGTGAGATCAAACCCATTGCTCCTCTGGGGCCAATCATTCAAGGGTCTGCCATCACTATCAGTATCAAAGGGAGGTAAGGGGATGCACAGAGCCATGTGGAGATGCACAGCACCATGCAGTTGTTAGGGCCCACGAAGTGCTCAGATTTATGAATTAAAGTCCCTCAATTAAGCAAATGTTAAGAGAATTACTATTAACCTTCCAGATACAGAAACCGTTTTATGTTCTTCATTATGTCCATGTTTCTAGTGTCTTACTGAGCAGTTGAATTTTCCCATAAACATATTACATAAATGCCATTTTTACAGCCACAGCTGCTAAATTTATTTTTTGTAAATATTCCTTGAGTTGAAAAATGCAGCTTGTCCCATCATATTGCTACATTACATTATTTACCTCTGAAAACCCCACACATTGATTTTGAAATGTGTAGTTGATTGGACCAATTAATCACTAAGAAGCAGATATGCAAAATTGATTTTTATATTGTAGTAATTAATTTTATAAATGCCATAACTTATAGCTGTGCTTGGACTAAGCAATTCAATAATGATAATAAATTTTATATGATCAGAACTACCCACTTTCAAGACTTTTTCTTTTGTCCAAAACCTGGTTGCATAGATTCTGTCTGGGTATGTTACTTGTATTGGGCCCTGATCCTGTGAGGTCTTGAACATCTCAATCTTCTGCTGATGTTAATGGGAGATAACAGCACTCACAGGACCAATCTTACAAAGGGTTTATTCCTAGACAGTTGTTCAAGGGAAGAGATATTCATGAATAACAAAAACTCCCCTATAAATTGTAGCTAAAATTTCACTTTTCAGTTAGAAATCATGCCTTTGGGGTTTATTGTGTCTGTTGCCAACATAGTGTAAAGTGATCCTAAAAGCAACTACCTAGGTTTCAGAGAGTGTAGCACTAAATACATCTGAAAATCAGGGTCTCCTAAGGTTCTCCAAAAATGAAACAACCAAAGTCTTTTTTTAAAGGTAGGCCAATGTATTTATACTTTATTGCTGTTGACTTCATCAAACAGTTCTGGCTAACATACTTCAATGTCTCAGAAGTAGCAACAAGGTTAAAACCAAAACATATTATTTTTTGATGGAGTCAGAAGTGACTCCACTAAAGTCAATGGAAATAGAGAGTTCTTTATTAGAATCTGTTTCTAAATATTTCTACAGCTAACATGAAGTGGTGGTGTAACTTAGAGGTTCACTAGAAAACAGAAATGAGCTGCAGTATATGTTCACATATATAAATGACAGCTGTAATATCACAGAAGTTCATGAAGGAGCTGAGATATCCCTTTGGCCTGTTGAAATGAAATGTTCCTCAAATTGAGACACTTTTCCAGAAAAAGGACATGCTATTTATTTCCTAAGTTTCAACCATCCACTTTAGTTAATTTTAGGTAGTTTTATTGATACAATTTTTTAATCTTTTCAAACCTCTTTGATGCCTGGTTTAAATTGTGTATTTTCATGCTAAAGTAAGCAATAATCATTAAAATTAATCAGTTTTGTTTTGTTTTTACAAAATAACCCTTGACCCATATCCCTTCTCTCTCTCTGCCCCCCAACATCCTCTTGTTTACTTGTGATTCCATTTATTATAGCTCAATTTTTCATCTTCTTTTGCAAAAATTTCTACATTAACATCTCCTGTTTTTACAGAGCATCAAAGTTAGTTGGCTACCTCCACCAACAGGCACACAAAATGGATTTATTACTGGCTATAAAATCCGACACAGAAAGACTACCCGCAGGGGTGAGATAGAAACACTGGAACCAAACAACCTCTGGTACTTGTTCACAGGTCAGTGTTCATGATGTAGCCTTACAAGGTTTTGATGAATTAAATGGTTTGGGAATAAAATATATTTTCACTTCTAGGAAACATTGATTTCTTTGTTGGCAGGTGTCATTTATTGGGCTGTACAGAAACAACCTTTCTATTCTTTTATTTTGTTTTCTCCTTAATGCTTTTTTCATACAATTGTCTCCTAGATCTCATCACCTTAATGTATTTGAAAGCAAGTTACTATTGTTCAGTGTAAACCTAGCTTAGTTTCTCAGACCACTGAGTCAACAACACATTCTTTATCTCAGTACAATGTTATCTTCCACACATCGTTTTTTCCTTCACCCCTCTTTTTTTATTTTATGGAGGAAAACCACTCTTCCCAGCATGAAAGATCGAAAATGACACTTTTTTAAAAATATAATTGTAATGCTAAGTGTAAGAAGCCAAATCAGTACTTTAAAGGTAACATTAAATTAAACAAAGAATAATTTTGATTCTTTTCTGGTGAAGGATGTTGTCACAGGACAGCTTGAGCTGTATTTCTCCTTACTGGCCCAGCCAAGACACACACTATCAGGCTTCCAGCTTCCCAGTCATTCCCATTCTTTGGTGGAAACCCTGCCTCTCATTCTCTTCTGAGTGGGGTATTTTCAGGCTGTACAGTTCCCTGCCTTCACCATGTTATTCTCAGCACAGGCAAGCTGCCCAACCACCTGTTTATTTTCTCTTCAGAGATGGTTAATAGGTGTAAGCTACAGTTATAAGTCACCATGCAGGGTTTTGGGTTTTTTTCTGTACAAGACTACTTTATTCTTAAGCTAAAAGCGCTACAGAGGCAACATACTAGAAACAATAAGTAATCTGCAGACATACTAATAATTTACCAAGGTTCACCACAACCCGGACATGAATTCTGGTGGAAGCAGCCCTTCACATCCCCTTGTGGTTACAAGTTCCTCACAGTTTCGGTTCACAACAAGCACAAACTCTGATGGACCTCAGGAGGCCCAATACTTCCAACCCCTCCTCCCCCCGGAGGATTTGGGACCTTTGTGGATCAGGATTCTGTCTATTTGCTTGATCAAAAAGAAGGCTCTGAGCCAGTTTAAAACCAGGCTATTTATCCAAAAATCCCAAAGAATCCAGTTTGAATTACTATATATGTATAACTCTCCTGGGAAGAAGCTTCAAAAGGATGATAATGGAGGTTATACATTAGCATCTCCTTCCCGACTAGAGAAGATACATCAATTCCACAATAACACACACACACACAATTTTATTTGTAATACAAATTGCATCCCCCAACAAAGTATTATTCTCAATGAGCCGTCTAGTCTTAAAGTCTATGAATAATGTTTAACTTGTTTTCGCTAAACTTAGTCTTTATTCTGTAATGTTTGCCCAGGGATTCACAGGTATATTTTTATATTGCACAAGGAATATTTGTTTATGGTGAAAGAAGTTAGGTTCCTTAGGTGAAACCAAGTTTCTGCCCCTGAAACATCCCTATTCCATTTATTTTAAAATAGAATAGTATTGTTTGAGATTTTAAAATATTTCTTGTGTCAGGAAAGGGCATATCTACGGGACAAAAAATACATTTATTTTGAAAATATACCAACTTTCTTTAGAGTCACAGAAAATCAAAAGCAGATTATGCTTTTCACTTAATTAAAACCTAATGATGCAAGTATGAATAGTTCTTAGGCCACATCTCCGCTTGCCATGCTATAGATTGATCGTCTGGAATTCAATTTAGTGGGTCTAGTTAAGACCCACTAAACTGAATGCTGAGGGTGGCTCTGGTCAGTGCCAGTACTCCTCGTAGTCATAAGGAGTAAGAGAAGCTGATGGGAGCATTTTCTGTCATCAGCCTCTCATTGTGAAGACAGTGCCAAGCTCTGCTTAAGGTAAGTCGACTACAGATATGTATTTTATGTAGCTGAAGTGGCGTACCTTAACCTGATCTTCTGGGTCTAGTGTAGACCTGGCTTTACTCATGTAAATAGCATCAAAGATAATGGGATTACTTGAGTCAGGTTGCAGACTTGCAGTCTATCGGCTGCATTCTTTGGTGGAAACCCTGCCTCTCATTCTCTTCTGAGTGGGGTATTTTCAGGCTGTACAGTTCCCTGCCTTCACCATGTTATTCTCAGCACAGGCAAGCTGCCCAACCACCTGTTTATTTTCTCTTCAGAGATGGTTAATAGGTGTAAGCTACAGTTATAAGTCACCATGCAGGGTTTTGGGTTTTTTTCTGTACAAGACTACTTTATTCTTAAGCTAAAAGCGCTACAGAGGCAACATACTAGAAACAATAAGTAATCTGCAGACATACTAATAATTTACCAAGGTTCACCACAACCCGGACATGAATTCTGGTGGAAGCAGCCCTTCACATCCCCTTGTGGTTACAAGTTCCTCACAGTTTCGGTTCACAACAAGCACAAACTCTGATGGACCTCAGGAGGCCCAATACTTCCAACCCCTCCTCCCCCCGGAGGATTTGGGACCTTTGTGGATCAGGATTCTGTCTATTTGCTTGATCAAAAAGAAGGCTCTGAGCCAGTTTAAAACCAGGCTATTTATCCAAAAATCCCAAAGAATCCAGTTTGAATTACTATATATGTATAACTCTCCTGGGAAGAAGCTTCAAAAGGATGATAATGGAGGTTATACATTAGCATCTCCTTCCCGACTAGAGAAGATACATCAATTCCACAATAACACACACACACACAATTTTATTTGTAATACAAATTGCATCCCCCAACAAAGTATTATTCTCAATGAGCCGTCTAGTCTTAAAGTCTATGAATAATGTTTAACTTGTTTTCGCTAAACTTAGTCTTTATTCTGTAATGTTTGCCCAGGGATTCACAGGTATATTTTTATATTGCACAAGGAATATTTGTTTATGGTGAAAGAAGTTAGGTTCCTTAGGTGAAACCAAGTTTCTGCCCCTGAAACATCCCTATTCCATTTATTTTAAAATAGAATAGTATTGTTTGAGATTTTAAAATATTTCTTGTGTCAGGAAAGGGCATATCTACGGGACAAAAAATACATTTATTTTGAAAATATACCAACTTTCTTTAGAGTCACAGAAAATCAAAAGCAGATTATGCTTTTCACTTAATTAAAACCTAATGATGCAAGTATGAATAGTTCTTAGGCCACATCTCCGCTTGCCATGCTATAGATTGATCGTCTGGAATTCAATTTAGTGGGTCTAGTTAAGACCCACTAAACTGAATGCTGAGGGTGGCTCTGGTCAGTGCCAGTACTCCTCGTAGTCATAAGGAGTAAGAGAAGCTGATGGGAGCATTTTCTGTCATCAGCCTCTCATTGTGAAGACAGTGCCAAGCTCTGCTTAAGGTAAGTCGACTACAGATATGTATTTTATGTAGCTGAAGTGGCGTACCTTAACCTGATCTTCTGGGTCTAGTGTAGACCTGGCTTTACTCATGTAAATAGCATCAAAGATAATGGGATTACTTGAGTCAGGTTGCAGACTAGTGTCTATCGGCTGCAAAAAAGAGTAGCTTTGGAGACATACAACATTCATGCATACTGGGAAAGGATGAAAAATTTCTATGATAGGTAATTTCAAAATAAAAAGTTGTGGCTGCTCAGAGCTTTGGAGTGTTAGAAATGCTCCTGATGGTGATGAATTAGATTTTCTGCATTTCAAAAAAATAGAAATTAGATATTGTATTTTGGGAAAGTAATGGAAATACCTATTTATATATTTAGACTTAAAAAACAGCCTACACAGCCTCTCATTACTATATGATCCAATATAAACATATTTTAAAAAAATAATAAAGTGATTGTTACAGAAGCTGAACTATAGAGTTGTTTTAAATGGATGACTTAAATATTCAGTTATAGATTTTTTTAAATATTAGGAATGCAGCTATTTTTGCAGGATAATGCAGAGACCTGCAATAGTAAAGCAACTTAGAGTTACAACAAAGATTTTAAAAGGCTGTTGTCTGTTTTATTGTAGGTTCCAATGTCTGATAAATTGCTGCTTTTAATTTTTTAATAATTTTTTAATAGTTCTTCATTAGAGAATGTTTGCAGCTGAACATAAGTACAGGTTTTCTTGTATTTCATTGTCAGGGTAGGCTAAAGACAATCATAAAACACTGATCGAAGGTTTGATAGCCAGATTGCTTCACCATATCCACATGTGGTACAGAATGGAGCCTAAGAGCTAAACTGAATTGGTACTAATCAGCAACAATAATAGGAAGTTATTGTGACCAGTGGTTCCATTGTAAATGAATGTGCCTGTAGCAACATACCTGTTATTGCCGTTCATGTAAATGAGCATATTAGTGCAGAACTGTTCACATACCCAACTTAACATGGTAAGGAAGTTGTAATATTACTGAAGACTATTAACTTTGCTTTAGTTCCGATACAAACTTTGGAATCTTGATAAAACTATTTTTCTCTTTCTGTTTGGTTTAAATTGCATTTTTAACAGGGCTTGATAAAGGAAGCCAGTACAGTTTCCAGGTAGCTGCCATGACAGTCAATGGGACAGGACCCTCCTCAGATTGGTATACAGCAGAAACTCCAGAGAATGATCTTGATGGTAATTACATTTCTTTTCAGATATTATCACCACACTCCTAGGTTTTTATCTGACATGTGTCATTCTAATTGTTACCTAGAGCTTTAACCAGATGCTGTGCAGGTCTTGGGTTAGATTCCAATGATTATAGTCACCAGAGCTGTTGTCTGGGTGTTTTTGAGCAGAAAACTCAGTGATTACCTATTATTAAGATTGCCTGCTGCATTCTGAACAAGTGAAGTGGAAGGGACAAGACAAGACAACTTAATTTTATTCCTCCATTTATACTGGTGCGTCTTGTGGGATTTTTTTCCAGTTTTTGCTAACCTTGCAAAATATGCAATCGCAATCATGGATAATAATCAACTAATAGTCCTTACGCTATGTCTCTAGTCTGACCATCAATAAAGATCCAAAAGTCTGTGTTGTAATTATCAGCTATTAGAATTTCATTTCTGTAGGTCATGACTATTTGAAAGAAAATTAGTAAGAAGTAAATCAATAACATCATGAACAATAAACATACCCAGTCAGAGAAACACTTAAAATAATAGTGATGGATCTAACTCAACAAACTGAGCCTATGAATAGCTTGCAGATTATTGTCTTTGAAAAATTTGTTTTCTGACGTTTGGCAATGAAGCCACATAATAAGTGAAAGATGATAGGATTCGACAACCTGAAAAATATAGAATGTAAAAAAACCAGATGTTGATAGTGACTGAATACAAAGGGATATATTGAATGACTGAAAAATTTCAAGAACTTAAAAAAAAGAAAGGGAAACATCTGCCTACTTTCAAAAGTAAATGAAATGCAAGTAAAATAGAACAAAAAGATGCAAATAGAAATTGAAGAAAAGCTATGGAGAATTATAAAGAAGCAAATATATATAAAAATGTAGTCAGCTGAAAATATGGGGAAACCAAAAGAGATAGAACAAAGTAATAATGGCTCAAAAGCAAAGTAAAGACAAAATCATCTAACGAGGGACAAAGATAAAATGGATGGATGAATAAACAGGTGATTAGTAAAAAGGCAACAGGAGATTGTTATGTTGCTTTTTTTTTTTTTTTGACTGAGTATCTTTCCTGATGATCTTACAACCAGCACACCTACCGTAAGCATTTTTGCTTCCTCAGCACATCCAATTCCATTTATATGGAGGAGCTAGGAATGAATCTATTTGGCTTATTTCACTCCTAACATATTGTATTCAATAAAAATGTTAAAGAGGTGATGACACTTTTGAAAGTGATGTGACCAGTCAGTATGGTCACAATATGCTATGGTATCTGGTGATTTATGCTATCATTCTACTAACTACTATTTTGGGTGGATAGCACTTTCAGAAATGACACATAACTCAAGATGAGAGCAGCTGGCCACTTATTTGGAGTTAGATCTTAGTAAGTAAAAAATAAATATATTCTAAACATCTCTCCATATTTTATATCATGGCTTTTAAAAACAAATACATTCATTTTCTTTATTTATGTTGCAAAATGAAATAATGCATTTCTTGGAAAACATTTGATTTATTTGCATTTAATCCACATCAAATATAATATTTGTTTTCCTCCAACAATATGTATATATATGCACGCAAAACTGCTAGTAGCATAATCATAGGGGACATGCAGGGAAAATGAAAATACACTGATAATCAAATAAAACTGAAGACTTTTTTCATATATTGTATCTAAACATTTGCATTTACAGGACCAATGAAAAATGTGTAGTTGAAGCTGTAGTAATATGACACTTTGCATGCATTGTGTTGCATAATATATATACTACTGAGATAATTTGATACACTCAGAGGAGAAATCAACATATTACTGTAGTTATGCAAAGTCCTGCAACTGTCAGCTAAATAGTAGAAATGTTGTTGCACAGATTGTTAACTGCAATTCCCTTTCTGCTCCTGTGGTTTATGCAGTGTCTCTTGCCTTCACTGTAGATTTGCCTGGCATAAGCAACAAAAAGATGAACAGTATCTTGGAGAACTACACTAACTCCCTATGGATATTCCTTTTAATTAGTGTGGTTTGTTAAAGCGATTAGAAATCCAAACATCACTGCTTATTCAAGGTTCCCTAGAAAGCTTGTGTGCCCTTACTGACAGCTGGGAAGTTTTAAATATTTATTTTTGAGCCTCAAATTTTGTGCTTTTAAAAAAATGGAAATTTAGTTTCCCCAAAGGGTCTGATTTAAATAGCTTCAGCAAGAATGCAAGAGATTCAAGTTTATAAAGGTATCCTCCAGGAAAGCAGGTTTAGGATTTTCAGTTTCTGCTTAGTGCATTGAACAGATGGAAGCTATTATACATATTAGTGATATGGTTTCACTTCAGCTCTAAATTAGCATTTAAGAGCATAGCAAAGTAAACCTGTATTACAGTGCAGTTTCTTCTAAAAATGATTTGTGGAATACAGGAGGAAAATGAAAATAATATAAACTAGCCTTAATTATAACTCTAAAATATACAACTATGAACTCCAGAAAACCTTGTACCACAACTGCTAAAGTGACCCCAATATAAATAATTTCCTTAGTGCTATCACTTAACCCAAGGAAATAGGGACCTTTAAACATTCAACATTGCATGAATGAAAGGCATGTGTACTTTGACCATTCAGTAAAAGCAGAGTCACTGGTACAGGATGAAATAAAAAGGATAGCACACTATAGAGTGAAATTATGGTACATTATAGGGTTTCATTTCTTAGAGACTCAAGCTTGACTACATGGCACTGCAGAAGAGTGCTGTAAATTGCAAACTCTAACTGATCCATGTATACTCTGCTTATTTGCTTTGATGTACCTAATTTGCTTTGATGTAGTCCTGTTTCAAATAGGACTACAAACTCAAACTAGCTACCTTTTAGTTATCATCAACAGGCTCTACGGCATACACTTTTGAAATGCTGTGCAGCTCAGATTCCCACAGACCAAACTGTGGCACCAAGAAGAGAAGCCCTAAGATTCTCAAAATGTTTATAGTGGAGAAGTTAATAACGAAGAATCACAGTAACATGAAGTGTTTCCTAACCTCAGGCATAAGAAATAGTAAGAGGTTTTTTTCATTGGTTCTATGTGTCAGATTCTGCCTTTGCATACTTCTGTGCAATTCTGATTAATTTTGTTAGCTGGTGCACACACAGAATTTTTCCCTCTATGAATGAGGACGGGAGTCATCACTTTATGGTGAGAGAAACTCCATGAACAATTACAGAGTTCAAGGAGAGTGGAATCTTTATTCATAGTAAAAGCATTTACAAAGAAAGAAGTAGAATGGAGATCTGTCAAAGCAGATTTGAGGGTAAAAAAATACCTGGTAATAAGGCTAAGAACAAAAAGCTATGCACGTGGATATGTTCTGTTGCATTTTAAATTATAATCAGGACCACTACCAGCCATGGAAATGGGGTGCTGGAACAATTTTATAGTAGAGATACTGAGGGCCATTGAATCAAACTGTATACGATAGAAGCCACTTCAAGCCAGGATGTGTGGAAGCAACTATGCATGGAAATTCTGCAATCTTGCACATAATTAAAGTCACTGGATGGAGTCATAGTACAGTATTTGTGTGTGTGTGTGTGTGCGTGTGCGCACGCGTGCGTGCAGAATCTGAGTGGTGTTGCATTTCTATTCTTTCTGATTGCGAACAAAACCTTCAAATGTGAACCAATTCATTTTGTCTCCATGAGTCTGCCAACAGGAAACAAGCACTCCCAAGAGTAGATTGTTAATGCTAAGAACTTAGCTATACAATGGCACTACTGTTTAAAATTGTATGAGACATGTATTTGAATTCATTCATACAACCATTTCAGCATATCAGAATAAAGTTCTTTGAACCCAACAGCAACCTAGGGACATCTATGCTAGTGTTGAAATCTCCATGTATTATATAAGTGAGATGTAAAGATTATTGTTTGATTCCAATAGCTTTTTGACTGTTCTGATTTCATGAACACCTTGAGATTCACTGCTTCTACTGTGTGCAAGGAATCCAGTATTGACTCATTCTATGACTTTCTATTACAAGGTGCAAAACTGCTACTATATGTCTGATTCATGTAAGAACCACTTCTGTCATTTTAAAAATCATCAGTATTCAATGACAGACCTTCAAGGACCTCTATATTCTGCATTGAAGAAAAATGTGGAGGTCAGAGGAAGATGAATGGCAATTGTTTTTGATTTTCAGTGACACTTCTGGTGAAATCCAGTTTGTGTTTTGTTATTACTATTCTTCAGTGCATTTCCTTCATTCTTAAAGTTAAGAACATGTATAGTAATGTTAAGGAAACTGAGTGCAAAGAACTTGTGTATCAGAATGGTAATGTACTAACCAGATAGAGTAGTTCTTCAAAAAACTTTAAATGTGTTAAGCAGAATTCATTTAAAATCTCATAAAATACCAAGGACACCATTGTACCATATCTGACAATAGGACTGAAAAGTATTAATTCCATCTTTTTATGGTCTTTTCCAAGATTTATTGTGGGAATGCTTCACAATCTCGAAATGTCTTTTGTCAGAGTTTACACCACCATTGTATACTGCTTTCCCCAGTCATTTGCCTATTATATTACAGGCCTCTTCATGGGGGGGAAATAGTAGTTTGTCTCTTTCTGCTCTCAAAAAGACAAGCTACTGTGCTGCTCTTCTAAAGAGACTTGTGATATGGTAGCTACTATACACTCCAACAAAAGGCATTTAGTCATCTATTCTTTAAAATAAAAGTGGATTCACTGAAGACAAAATGTGCTAGTTAGGCATTAAGTCATTAAGTGCTACATAAAAAAGCATACGCCTTGAGAGAGCCTGTAAAAAAGTATCATTGTATTATTTCATTTTATTATCTGAGTGCTGTTGTATTATTCAGAGCAGCCTCCAAGCCAAGATAGGCATGTCCAAGAAAGTTAGAGCTTCCTCACTCATAATTAATGTTACAATTTTCACAGGAATGAGATATGTCATTTCCAGAAAATGCTATCATATCACTTACAAAGTCAACCACTTCCTTAAATACTGTAGTTAAATGAGTGGCCCATAAGTCATCTACCTGATTTCAACAACTTCAACATTTTTATGGGGATTTTTTTATCAATTCCAAACGTTTTCATTTCCCACCTTCCTGAATAATATCAGATCTTCCTCATATCTACAAACTAAAGATAAGATGGACAAAAGGATATTTGATTATTAAGAAAAGGAGAAGGTATCTTACATGTTGAAGAAACTTCTCAACGTACTTGTTGCTGAATAATGTAGTTCAAAACAAGGCTGAATGTTGAGAACAGAAATTGCATGTAGACTATGCATGTTACTGTGGATTCCTGGTTACTTTCTTACAATGTATTCCTTAATTTATACTCTGATTTGTGAATGGTAAAACTCAATGTGCAGGATATTAATGAATCCTCTCTTTGTATCCCAGAATCTCAGGTTCCTGATCAGCCAAGCTCTCTGCATGTCAGGCCATTGACCACCAGTATCGTCATGAGTTGGACTCCACCACTGAATCCAAACATTGTTGTACGTGGATACATCATTGGCTACGGAGTGGGTAGCCCATATGCCGAGACAGTGAGAGTAGACAGCAAACAGCGCTACTACTCTATTGAAAACTTAGGTGGGTATCTTTTTTTTCCTTTCATGATTAAAAAAAGAAATTATTTCTGGCCTTTATTAATTTGGGGAACTTTTCCTAAGACGCTACCACTAAGACATTAAATACAAATCAAATTTGTAACCACTTAGGTACATCTACACTACAGGACAAGATAGAATTAAGATGCACAACTTCAACTATGTTAATTGCATAGCTGAAGTCAAAGTAGCTTAACTCGGCTTTTGGTGCTGTCTACACTTCAGGAAGTCAAAGGAAGAATGCTCTTTCTTCGACTTAGACTCATAGACTTTAAGGTCAGAAGGGACCATTATGATCATCTAGTCTGACCCCCTGCACAGTGCAGGCCACAGAATCTCCCAGAATAATCCTCTCATTTATATCTCAGATATTGAAGCCTTCAAATACTTTGAAGACCCCAAGATGCAGAGAATCCTCTAGCTGTGATCTGTACCCCATGCTACAGAGGAAGGCGAAAAACCTCCAGGGCCTCTGCCAATCTACCCTGGAGGAAAATTCCTTCCCGACCCCAAATATGGCGATCAGCTAAACTCTGAGCATGTGGGCAAGACTCATCAGTCAGACACCCAGAAAGTTCTCTATAGTAACTCCTATCATCCCTCCATTGACCTATTCCCACTGATAATGAATGGACAATTAGTTACCAAGATCATGTTATCTCATCAAACCATCCCCTTCATAAACCCATCTAGTTTAATCTTGAAACCAGACTTCCCTTGCTCCTCATGAAAGCAGGGTTACCAGCAGGGTTACCAGGGTTATCAACCTGCAGTGTCCCTCTTAGCTGTCTTAAATGGACCCGCTAATATGAACCCTGGAAGATCGATAGCAGCAGCTTTGATCTTCTTCTGTGGTGTAGATGTACCCTTAGAGACAGAGTTTGCCATGTTATGGTTTGTGCCAACACAAACAATGGTTAATATTCAGCTGCCAATAGCAGAGGCTATCAGGGTTTTCACTCCTGCCATTGACCAAGACTGGCACTTGGTTGTCTTCCTGTAATTAAATGGTAACACTATAATTCTGCAGCATAAATGTCAGTGAAAGTGTTTATAATCAGGTTACTGGAATAAAGTTGCATTTACAGTGGGGATGGGGCCTTAGTTACATTACATTCATAACTTTTGAAACAATATTCAATAATAGATCTTAAATCATTAAAATTTCTTAGTCTAATGAGCACATATATTCTCTCTTAATGTGCCTGAAGATATTGCTAATTCATCTTTTGCTTGGCCCTTAAAAGACTATGAGATACATCAGTGATATTGCTTGAAAAAAGAAGAAATAGAAATAGTTTATCATCATCGAGTTTAGAACAAATACTTCATCTACTAAACTGAAATCATGCATTTATTTGTCAGTGATTGATTGACATTTTTCTCTGTCCATGATAATATGCTGAAAACTATGTGAGCCAGATCAGATATGATCAAATTTCCTTTAATCAAGTGATCAAGTTGTGCAGTAGATCTTTAACTGATGTTCCAATGAAGATAGACTCCAAAATATAATCAGCCATTTATAATTTCTGGACTGCAACTTTGGTGGCATATCAGTTTGGGTCCTTCACTTCATAGCAAGTCTACATCTGAATAAGCACATTACCAGCTTCTGTTGCTGTCCTCTCCCCATTTTGCACAGAGCAGAAACTAGAAATGCTATTCCCAAGGCTGGTCCAAGTTGGAATTTAATGAAAATCACAGAACTTATAATGGGTATCTATTTAAAAAGTTGTAAAGAAATAGTCTATTATTCCATTGTTCCACTCTCTCTAATAGTTCATATTGATGCTGGGCAATGGTATACAGAGAATTGGGTACTTTGGTAATGGTATTCTAGTATTGGGGAAATGATTCAAAGTTTGGATGGAGTCATGAGAAATAATCAGTTTTCTTTTTTCTTCTATAGCATTTTTCTTTCAAGGTAATATTTTGTTGTCATTTAATGTGCATATGTGATGTCCTAGGTATGTTCAAATGCTTTAGAAATATTAAATCTCATAATGCATCTCTATGTTATGGCCAGGCACAAAGGTTAAATGAGTTTCTAGAATGTATATAGGTAGTTGTTGTGATAACTAGGTATGGAACCTAGAACTTCTTGTCTTCCAGCTGTCTTCTCAGATCACTATATACACTTTTAAAATAATAGAATCCAACAGCACAAGAAACTAGATATGCTTCAACTCTATGGTTACCTGGTTCTCAAGAAAAGTCTCAGACTGGCATTTGCTACTATACAAATAAAACTTTTCTTTATACTTGGGGGTATGTCTAGACTACATGGCTCTATGGATGGAGCCATGTAGATGAGTTTAGTAGACATAGGAAAATAAAGCGGCGATTTAAATAATCGCTGCTTCATTTACATCAAAATGGCCACTGCGCTGTGCCGATCAGCTGTTTGGCGGCACAGCAGGGCAGTCTGGACCCGCCTCTGTCGAAAAGGCAAGCCTTTGTCAAACGCTCTGCTAAACCTCATTACAACAGAATTACCTGTATCCTGCTTCAGAAGCCTTTTAAATCTGCACTTGAAAGGGAATCCTCTGAACTGTCATTCATGCTAAAATTCAACACTCTTCGCAGGGGGATCAACAAAGACTCTGGCTATCTTACGCATTACAAAGATAGCCTCCCCAATTATCACCTCTAATACCATTAGCTCACCTTTCCTCCCCCCCCCCCCCGCATCCCCTTTCTGTTCTGAAATTTGATTTGTCCTTTTCATATGTGTTCATTTTTTAAACTGTATCCTTTGGTATATATGGTTGTGACTATTTTCTTCCACTATTTGATCTGAGGAAATGGGTCTGACCCACGAAAGCTCATCATCTAATAAACCATCTTGTTAGTCTTTAAAGTGCTACGTAGTCCTGCATTTTGTTATAGGTCAGTATGTTCTTGGGAGTCTGGCAAGGCCCCAGGAGATGGTTATACAACCACATTCTTCAAGTTTTTAATGAACACCTTTTTCTAAAGATATTGTAACTACCACCTGAAATAAATGCCTTATAACATGGCTTTCTGCAGTTTCAATTATTCTAATCTATTGTCATTTCTAGAAATTACTCTAGTCATGTTTAGTTACAAATAACTGATTCACTGAATGTAGCCTTTTTTTTTAACTTACTGAACATCTCCAGCAGATCAGGATTTCATCAGTATTCAAATATATTGGACAATTTTTGTGGATGTTTAAAGTCTGGTTTGATTACAAATATTCAAAACAAAAAAGTGTAATTTAGTTATGATTTTCCAGATGCATCATATGCACTTGTTCCCTACTTGGCCGAGGGACACAAACACATCATAGTGCAAAATTTGGTATGTGTACTTTTTCAACTTAATTTCTGTGAATACTCACTTATACAACTTTGAAAATAATTTTCTGTGAACAATTGTGCTAATTAAATTCAGTTGTGTAAATGTTCACAAAAGAATGAATCATAAAGGGATTCAATGAAAAGACTAGAGAATTCTTTTAAAAAGTAGATCAAATGGATTCCAGCATTTCTGATGTTGTTCACCTAACTCTACTCAAGATCACTACAAGGAAATTACTACAAAACAATTAGACGTTGTTTTCAAGAATATAGAGATCAAAATACTGACAGTCTCTCTGACAGAAGGGAAAAAAGATAGACATTATATGAAATCATCAGAACTGTTGTAAAATGTCCTACAACTCATACATATTAAGGGATGATAACAGAATACATATACAATATGTAATATGATTAAAATAAATTGTGAAATTTCAGACCTCCCTTCCCGCTACAAATGACAAATTTCTACTACCCCATTCAACACCACTGCTCATCAGAGACCAAAGTAAATCCAGCCTCAGAATCAAGGAGCATCAACCATCTCTTTTCAGGCCACACACTTCAGTTGTACCCAGTAGATAAGTAAAACTGAGAATCTTGCCTTTGTTTCAGGGCCCAAATTAATTCTTAATCTGACCTCCCTATGACTGAAATGCGCTGTGGTGTTTGTTTTGGTTTGTTTATGCTTTGGGTGTTGTTTTGAAATATGCTAAATATTTAATTAAGCATAATTTGGATTCTAGAGCAATAGATTTGTTCATTAATGAGCAATCAGATTTGCCTGACATGATTTACCTTGCACAAATCCATGCTGATTCATTTCTGTGGCAAATGTTTTGATACTTGGGTGCCTAAATCCATGTTTGGAGATCATTTTAATTAATAGCCTCAGGGAATTGGCTTTTATGAGCTTCTTAAATGAGGAAAATACATTGCCTTCATGAACTGAGGCAACAGGGACATCTTAGGGGAGAATGGTGAAGAGCTTGAAAATGGGAATGAGGATCAGCAATTCTAGTTAAAATTCAATGGAAAATGTAGGTGCTTAGCCCATCTGAAAATCAGGACCAGTATAGAGGCAACATAGTGACGTAAGTGAAGCATGTGTAAATTGATGCGAATGGACATGAATATAAATTGAGGAGATAGCTGAGTGGGCCTATAGCAGAAAAAGTAGCCAACAAATTAATGTACTGTTGGACAGAGCTTGGATACTATAGTAATGAGGGTAACATAAGAACTTGAGAAGAGTAGAGTGTAAGAGTTAGGATTGAATAACGAGGTATAAGAGAAAGCAGGCCCATCACACACTGGCAGAAATGAAGGTAGAGCGTATTAATACTCTTGTACAAATCAGGCTGTCAAAGATGCTATATAAATGTAGTTCATCACATGATTTCACAATTTTACTTAGACTTCTGTAAACACCATATATACATGCATAAATTCAAGTATATGTTACCTTCATAAATCTCTTTCCAAGAACATACCTATGTGTTCAGCACAGTACAACTCTCAATAAAAAAGTTCTTGCCCAAGGAGAACCTTTGAGTTCCTTTGAGAACCTGTAGTCTGCTTACTAATTCTGACATGCTAAAATCTCCAGTCACCTGCCATTTAACAAAAACAAAGGAACCAGTTAGTCAGAATTTGT